AACAGAAACATTCATCTATAAAATAACAATTTAACAGAAACATTCATGTATAAAATAATAATTGAACAGAAACATTAATCTATTAAATAATAATTGAACAGAAACATTCATGTATAAAATAACAATTTAACAGAAACATTCATGTATAAAATAATAATTGAACAGAAACATTCATATATAAAATAATAATTTAACAGAAACATTCATGTATAAAATAATAATTGAACAGAAACATTCATCTATAAAATAATAATTGAACAGAAACATTCATATATAAAATAATAATTTAAAATTATTTATCTGAGGAGCTTTGAGTTTAACTCCATCACTGAACTCTCATCTTGAACAAGCATGAAGTCAGGTTGACTTTAGTTTTAATCAGTTATAGATGTAGCTACATTTGATAATTACTTCATGAAAATTTAATTAAATACATGCAGTGATTCATGAGCAGTCCAACACATGCAGCAGGTGACAACAGGTACTCAGCAGCCTGCACTCGCAGCTTCGATCGCCCCCTGCTGGTCACAGCTGCTCATTACTCCCTGGCTGCTCTCGGTCGCCCCCTGCTGGTCACAAGTGCTCATTACCTGCTCTCGGTCGCCCCCTGCTGGCCGCAGCTGCTCATTACTCCCTGGCTGTTCTCGGTCGCCCCCTGCTGGTCACAGCTGTTCATTACCTGTTCTCGGTCGCCCCCTGCTGGTCACAGCTGCTCATTACTCCCTGGTTGCTCTCGGTCGCCCCCTGCTGGCCGCAGCTGCTCATTACTCCCTGGTTGCTCTCGGTCGCCCCCTGCTGGTCACAGCTGCTCATTACCTGCTCTCGGTTGCCCCCTGCTGGCCGCAGATGCTCATTACCTGCTCTCGGTCGCCCCCTGCTGGCCGCAGCTGCTCATTATCTGCTCTCGGTCGCCCCCTGCTGGTCACAGCTGTTCATTACTCCCTGTCTGCTCTCGGTCGCCCCCTGCTGGTCACAGCTGCTCATTACTCCCTGTCTGCTCTCGGTCGCCCCCTGCTGGTCACAGATGCTCATTACCTGCTCTCGGTCGCCCCCTGCTGGCCGCAGCCGCAGCTCTTCTTTATTTTGCGCTCCGCTTCTCGCAGTTTAAAATGGCGGCACTGAGCAGCGCTGAGTCTCCACCTCCCGTCTTTAACGGAGACACCGCGGAGCTGGATCCGGGCAGGGACCGCAGCCTGGAGGGGCTGGGCACGAGCTTAGACTCTTCGTGCTCGTCGGGTTTTCCCGGAGGTCCGCACGATGAGGAGGTAGGAGCTGGTGTCTGTGGGGGGACGGGGGGCAGCGGGCTCTGCTCGACTCGGAGCTAATTGGATGGAAACGTCCAGGAAACACCGGCTGGGATGCAGCGGGTCGTGGGGATGCGGTGCGGGGTTCTGGACCATGTAACAAACCGGGTCCAGTGGTTCTGTTGAGTCCAGCCAGGCCGCGTTCAGGGCCTCGGGTTTTAGTGAGAAGAAAGATGCGACGGACAGAGCAGAGGAGCCGGGAAGAAGATGGTGTTTGGCCTCCTGGGTCCAGGGTCCTGGCTTCTCAGGCTGTAGAGGCCAGAACCTGCTGTAGAGTCCAGAACCTGCTGTAGAGTCCAGAACCTGTTGTAGAGTCCAAATCCCGGCTGTAGAGTCCAAATCCTGCTGTAGAGT